ACCCAGAACCAAACCAGGATCAAACCAGGTCTAAACCCGGTCTCTTCCAGGGCCAAGACGATAAAAAACACTGTGAGTGTGAACGTGGAGCTGACGGCCGACGAGTGGAGGCGGAAATATGAGAAAGAAAAAGAAAAAAACAGAAGTTTAACCGTGTCCAACCATCGTCTGGAGGGAGAACTGCAGCGCTGGAGGAGAGGTCTGACCTCTGACCTTTAACCCTCAGTCTGACCTTTCACCTTTAACCTTTAACCCTCACTTTGACCCCGGCTGCAGGGGAGGCGGTGCCTTTGGAGCAGCAGACTCACCGAGACAAGAAGCTGGCGTCTGATTGGCCCACGGTGGTGACGGAGACCCCGCCCCCTGCGCCCGTGACCAATGAGGAGCGAGCTCAGTACGAAGGCCTCATCACCGACCTGTACAAACAACTGGACGACAAGGTACCACCCCGGAACTAAACCAGGACTAAACCAGGACTAACCCCAGGACTAAACCAGGACTAACCCCAGAACTAAACCAGGACTAAACCAGGACTAAAGCAGGACTAAAGCAGGACTAAACCAGGACTAACCCCGGAACTAAACCAGGACTAACCCCGGAACTAAACCAGGACTAAACCAGGACTAAACCAGGACTAAAGCAGGACTAACCCCGGAACTAAACCAGGACTAAAAACTAAACCAGGACTAAACAGGACTAAACCAGGACTAACCCCGGAACTAAACCAGGACTAAACCAGGACTAACCCCGGAACTAAACCAGGACTAAACCAGGACTAAAGCAGGACTAAAGCAGGACTAAAGCAGGACTAAACCAGGACTAAAGCAGGACTAAAGCAGGACTAACCCCGGAACACTAAACCAGGACTAACCCCGGAACTAAACCAGGACTAAACCAGGACTAACCCCGGAACTAAACCAGGACTAAACCAGGACTAAACCAGGAACTAAACCAGGACTAAACCATAAACCAGGACTAAACCTAAACCGGAACTAAAGGCAGGACTAAACCAGGACTAAACCAGGGAAACCAGGACTAAAGCAGGACTAAACCAGGACTAAACCAGGACTAAAAGGCAGGACTAAAAGACTAAACCAGGACTAAACCAGGACTAAAAAACCAGGACTAAAGACTAAACCAGGACTAAACCAGGACTAAAGCAGGACTAAACCAGGACTAAACAGGACTAAACCAGGACTAAAAGACTAAACCAGGACTAAACCAGGACTAAACCAGGACTAAACCAGGACTAAACCAGGACTAAACCAGGACTAAACCAGGACTAAACCAGGACTAAACCAGGACTAAACCCAGGACTAAACCAGGACTAAACCAGGACTAAACCAGGACTAAACCAGGACTAAACCAGGACTAAACCAGAGACTAAACCAGGACTAAACCAGGACTAACTGGGGTCTGTTTGTTCCAGGACGATGACTTAAACCTCCAGAGTCAGGTGCAGGAGGAGCTGAAGCGGCAGGTGCAGGAGCAGGACCAGGTGAGACGTGTCAGGACTCAGTTTGGCCTTTAGGGGGCGATGTGTGTTTTCAGTGATTTGACCAGATTCACACAAACTTATTAAAAACTAAAGCAGTGTGACGTGACCCACACCCAGGACCATGTGTTTATGAACACGACTTTAAAACTGTTTTAATCCAATTATTGATTAAACCTCAGCAGGTTCAGACACTTTTCCTCTCAAACTGAACTGGAGCCAGAGTCCATGGAGCCCAAACACGCCCACGAACACTTCCAGGGTCTGAAACATCATGAAGCAACCAGAACCAGGACCAGGACCAGAACCAGGACTCACACCTCTGACCCGGTTCTGACCCGGTTCTGACCCGGTTGTGGTGGTGTTGTAAAGAGCCCTGAGGTTCTCTCCGCTCTCTGTTCTCAGTTGGGGTGAAGTTCTTATTTGTTGTCAGTATCTGTTGTGTTTGATCCTTTACATGTGTCATTATTATTCAGGCCGTATCAGAGGGTTAGAGTTAGAGTTAGAGTTAGAGTTAGAGTTAGAGTTAGAGTTAGAGTTGTGTCCTCTCCAGACGCTCGGGGGTGTAAGTGGAGAGGTTCGCGGGCACGGGCAGAGGGGTGACGTCACACGCGGTCAGGGCCGTGGAACTAACACTATTTGGTTTATTTCGCTGTATTTTGTGGATTTTTGCGTTTTCCATTTTTGTTCTCGTACTTCTGCGGGAGACGCTGGACTCTGAGACAAAACCAGAGCGCGGGCGGCGTGAGTAAAACTACAGACTTTACAAACTCACGTCACGTTTTCCGCGCAGCGAGAGGAAAACTCTGGGACAAGTAACAAGTAAAGACAGTTGGGACGTTTGTGGTGCAGGTGTTGGACTCAGACAAACTGCTCTTTGTTGTTTGTTACACTGGGATTTGTGTTTTTGTGTTTGGGTTTTGGGGTCTGGTTGTGCTCGGGCTCAGGGCGGTGATTAATGTTAATGTTAATGTTAATGTTAATGTTACTGTTAATGTTAATGTTAATGTTACTGTGGACGTTCCTGCGAATATCAGGCAACGCAAATAAAAAACAAAACAAAAAGCACTTTGTTTTTGATGATGTGAACAGATCCTCCCACATCCTTAAATCTGTGCTGTAGATTTTCATTGGTCAAGAAAAGGTGAAATGTTACAGTGTCCTGACCCAGTCCTGACTCGGTTGTGACTCGGTTTCTGACCCGGTTGTGACCCGGTTGTGACTCGGTTTCTGACCCGGTTGTGACCCGGTTGTGACCCGGTTGTGACTTGGTTGTGACCCGGTTGTGACTCAGTTGTGACTCGGTTTGTGACCCGATTGTGACCCGGTTGTGACTCGGTTTGTGACCCGGTTGTGACTCGGTTTGTGACCCGATTGTGACTCGGTTTGTGACTCAGTTGTGACCCGGTTGTGACCCGGCTTGTGACCCGGTTGTGACTTGTTGTGACTCGGTTTGTGACCTGGTTGTGACTCGGTTTGTGACCCGGTTGTGACCCGGTTGTGACTCGGTTGTGACTCAGTCCTGACCCGGTCCTGACCCGGTCCTGACTCGGTCCCGACTTGGTCCTGACCCGGTCCTGACTCGGTCCTGACCCGGTCCTGACTCGGTCCTGACCCGGTCCTGACTCGGTCCTGACCCGGTCCTGACCCGGTCCTGACCCGGTCCTGACCCGGTCCTGACCCGGTCCTGACCCGGTCCTGACCCGGTGTTGTGCAGGTGGTGGTGTCTCTGCGCGCTGACCTGGAGCGCCTGCAGGGGGAGCTGTGTCGCGCTCAGACTCAGTGTGACGAGGCCAAAGACGAAGTGAAGGAAGTTCTACAGGCGCTGGAGGAACTCGCCCTGAACTACGACCACAAGTCCACCGAGTCCCAGACCCGGACCCGAGAACTCAACCAGGTCCACCACGAGCTGCAGCAGAAGACGGTGAGTCCAGAACCGAACTGGGACTAAACCAGGACTGAACCAGGACTGAACCAGGACTAATCCAGGACTGAACCAGGACTAAACTGGGTCTCTCTGCAGGTCTTGCTGGAGTCCATGCAGAAGGAGTTGTCTTCAGTCCAGGACCTGAGTTCTCATCAGAAGAAAAGGTCCAACGAAGTCCTCAACCTGCTCCTCAGAGACCTGTCAGACCTGGGAGCCGTGCTGGTACCTGCTCGAACACCTCCCCAGACACTTCCTCCTCCAGAACCTCCTCCAGAACCTCCCCAGACACTTCCTCCTCCAGAACCTCCTCCAGAACCTCCCCAGACACTTCCTCCTCCAGAACCTCCTCCAGAACCTCCCCAGACACTTCCTTCTCTCCTCGTCTTTAAATCTCTCTCTTTCTTCTCGTTCTTCAGACCTGCTCTGGACCTGGTCCTAGTCCTAGTCCGGGTTCTGGTCTCGAGGAGGACTTCACTGCAGCTCGACTCTTCATCAGTAAAATGAGGTCTGAGCTGAAGTCCGTCCTGAACCGGACCAAGACCCTGGAGCAGAACCTCCAGGACCAGCAGATCCGGACCAAGACCCTGGAACGAGATCTGGGCCTGAGCCAAACGCTGGTCCAACAGGTACAAACCAGAACCAGACCAGGACTAAAACAGGCTTAGACCAGGACTAACTGTGGTTTGATCCAGCTCCAGACCAAGACCCGGACCCAGACTGAGGAGCTGCAGAAGCTGGACCAGAAGAACCGAGCCCTGGAGGAAAACCAGGACTCCCTCACAGAAGAACTGCACCGAGTCCAGGCTCAAGGTGAGACCGGGACTAAACCGGGACTAAACTGGGACTAAACCGGGACTGAACCAGGTCTAAACCGGGACTAAACCGGGACTAAACTGGGTCTAAACCAGGACTAAACCGGGACTAAACCGGGACTAAACCGGGACTCTCCTCTCACGGTGTTTTCAGGTCGTCTGGTGGAGTTGTCAGCGATGGACAAAGAGAAGGTTCTAAAGGACACTGTGGATATGAAGGTACGTACCTAAACCTGGTCTAAACCCAGTCTAAACCTGGTCTCAATCTGGTCTGAACCTGGTCTAAACCTGGTCTAAACCCGGTCTTTTGGGGTCTGTAGCGCACTCTGGAGGAGCAGATGGAGAATCACAGGGAGGTCCATCAGAGGCAGGTCTCTCGACTCAGAGACCAGATCCAGGCCCAGAACCGGGACTTGGACCTGCTGCGGGAGTGAGTCGTCCGGCGGTTTTAATCAAGTGTTTCATCTGTTATTTATTCATGTTTTATTCATGTTTTATTCATGTTTTATTCATGTTTTATTTCTTTTTGATTCTTGTTTTTTTGTGTTTTTTCAGATGGACTTGGTTCAGTTTAAATGTTCGTCTCTTTATTTTTCTCTGATGTTTTTCCTCATGAAGCGTCAGGTGTGTGTTTGTGTGTTTGTGTATTTGTGTGTTTGTGTGTTGTTCCTCAGGTTCTCAGGAGGCCTCCTCAGAGCTTCAAGGTTCTGCTGAATCTTTACTGTTCCTGTTCTGTTCTTTTCTGGACTGAGATGTTCTGTTGTTTTTCCAGTTTGGAGGTTACAGCCTCGAGTGTCCGATCACCACAGGCTCCACTGATGTCTTTACTTTCCAGACCTTCTCCAGCTCCTCCTTGAGCCCCTGGTGTTTCTCTAGTTTCTCGTGTTCCTTTTTCCTGATGTTTCCATCTCTTGGTGTTGTGATGTTCCACCACGGCTCTGCTCTGTTCTTCTCCACCTCCACTATGTCTGGTTGGTCCATCTCCATCCTGTCAGTCTGTATCTGACTGGAGACCCCAAGGTCAAGGTGGGAAACACCTCCAAAGGTTGTGGAGAACGACCGAGCCAAGATCCTGTGGGACTTCAGATACAGACTGACAGGATGGAGATGGACCAACCAGACATAGTGGAGGTGGAGAAGAACAGAGCAGAGCCGTGGTGGTGGAACATCGCAATACCAAGAGATGGAAATATCAGGAAAAAGGAACATGAGAAACTAGAGAAACACCAGGGGCTCAAGGAGGAGCTGGAGAAGGTCTGGAAGGTGAAGACATCAGTGGAGCCTGTGGTGATCGGACACTCGGGCTGTAACCCCCAAACTGGACAAACAACAAACATCTCAGTCCAGAAAAGAACAGAACAGGAACAGTAAAGTTTCAGCGGAACCCTGAAGTTCTGAGGAGGCCTCCTGAGAACCTGAGGTGGAGGAGGGTGAGAGACCAAGCACCTGCGGGTGAGGAACACGTTCATGTTTCTGTTCTGTTTCTGAACAGCGTCACGGAGCAGCAGCAGGTCCAGATCCACAGACTCACCTCAGACCTGGACCAGCTCCGAGTCCAAGACCAGACCAAGGATCAACGACTACGAGAGCTGCTGTGAGTACTGAACCAGGACTGAACCAGGACTGAACCAGGACTGAAGCAGGACTGAACCAGGACTAAACCAGGACTGAACCAGGACTGAACCAGGACTGAACCAGGACTGAACCAGGACTGAACCAGGACTGAAGCAGGACTGAACCAGGACTAAACCAGGACTGAACCAGGACTGAACCAGGACTGAACCAGGACTGAAGCAGGACTGAAGCAGGACTGAAGCAGGACTAAACAGTGGTCCGTTTCAGGCAGGAGAGGGAGAGGAGGAACCAGGCCAAAGAAGACCTGAAAGGGCTTGAGGACACTGTGGTAAGTTCTACTCTCTACTAAACCAGTCTAAACCAGGACCAAACCCAGACTAAACCAAGACTGAACCAGGTCTGTTCATGTTTCTGAATCTGTTTCTGCTTCAGGCCAAAGAGCTTCAGACTCTGATGAACCTCCGAAAACAGTTTGTGAGAGACTTCAGCTCCAGGATCAACAGTGTAAGAACCAGGACTGAACCAGGACTAAACCAGGACTGAACCAGGACTGACGTGATCACATTTGTGTGTTTCAGATCCAGGAAAATGATACAGATGAAGCTGGAGGAAGTTTGGCTCAAAAACAAAGAATCGTTTTTCTGGAGAACAACTTGGACCAGCTCAGCAAAGTCCACAAACAGGTAAAACTGGTTACGATCCAAGTCCCACCTGAGGGTTGGTCCATGAAGCATCACATGTGAATGATTTTTCCTGTGAGGAGAGTTATTTGATTGATTTATTTGTTTTATTCTTTGTGGTGTTTTGTGGGGCACAGTTGGTCCGGGACAACGCAGACCTGAGGTGTGAACTTCCAAAACTGGAGAAGCGTCTGCGAGCGTCGTCTGAGCGCGTCCAGCTGCTGCAGAAAGCCCTGAACCAGGCCAAGGTCAACGCCATCCGCGACAAGAAGACGTACAGACAGGAAGTGGAGCGCTGCAGACAGGAAGTAGAGCGTATCAAAGACGCCATGAGACAAAGGAGCCACTACGCCCAGATCGGTACGACGGAACTCTCACAACGAAACTCTCACGACGAAACACGACGACGAAACTCTCACGACGAAACTCTCACGACGAAACTCTTACGACGAAACTCTCACGACGAAACTCTCACGACGAAACACGACGCGAAACTCTCACGACGAAACTCTTACGACGAAACACGACGAAACTCTCACGACGAAACTCTCACGACGAAACTCTCACGACGAAACTCTCACGACGAAACTCTCACGACGAAACACGACGAAACTCTCACGACGGAACTCTCACGACGAAACTCTCACGACGAAACTCTCACAACGGAACACGACGAAACTCTCACGACGAAACTCTCACGACGAAACTCTCACGACGAAACTCTCACGACGAAACTCTCACAACGGAACACGACGAAACTCTCACGACGAAACTCTCACGACGAAACTCTCACGACGAAACTCTCACAACGGACGACGAAACACGACGAAACTCTCACGACGAAACTCTCACGACGAAACTCTCACGACGAAACTCTCACGACGAAAACTCTCACAACGAAACTCTCACGACGGAACACGACGAAACTCTCACGACAAAACTCTCACGACGAAAACTCTCACGCAACGAAACTCTCACGACGAAACTCTCACGACGAAAAACTCTCACGACGAAAACTCTCACAACGAAACTCTCACAACGAAACTCTCACGACGAAACTCTCACGACAAAACTCTCACGACGAAACTGTCACGACGGAACACGACGAAACTCTCACGACGACGAAACTCTCACAACGAAACTCTCACGACGAAACTCTCACGACGAAAACTCTCACGACGAAAACTCTCACAACGAAACTCTCACGACGAAACTCTCACGACGAAACTCTCACGACGAAACTCTCACGACGAAACTCTCACGACGAAAACTCACGACGAAAACTCTCACACGAAACTCTCACGACGGAACACGACGAAACTCTCACGACAAAACTCTCACGACGAAACTGTCACGACGGAACACGACGAAACTCTCACGACGAAAACTCTCACAACGAAACTCTCACGAAGAAACGTTCATGACGAAACTCTCACGACGAAACTGTTACGACGAAACACGACGAAACTCTTACGACGAAACTCTCACGACGGAACACGACGAAACTCTCACAAAGAAACTGTTACGACGAAACACGACGAAACTCTCACGACGAAACTGTTACGACGAAACACGACGAAACTCTCACGACGAAACTCTCACGACGAAACTGTTACGACGAAACACGACGAAACTCTCACAACGAAACACGACGAAACTCTCACGACGAAACTCTCACGACGAAACTCTCACGACGAAACTGTTACGACGAAACACGACGAAACTCTTACGACGAAACTCTCACGACGAAACTCTCACGACGAAACGTTCATGACGAAACTCTCATGACGAAACTGTTACGACGAAACACGACGAAACTCTTACGACGAAACTCTCACGACGGAACACGACGAAACTCTCACAACGAAACTCTCACGACGGAACACGACGAAACTCTCACGACAAAACTCTCACGACGAAACTGTCACGACGGAACACGACGAAACTCTCACAACGAAACTCTCACAACGAAACTCTCACGACGAAACTGTTACGACGAAACACGACGAAACTCTTACGACGAAACTCTCACGACGGAACACGACGAAACTCTCACGACGAAACTCTCACGACGAAACTGTCACGACGGAACACGACGAAACTCTTACGACGAAACTCTCACAACGAAACTCTCACGAAGAAACTGTTACGACGAAACACGACGAAACTCTTACGACGAAACTCTCACAACGAAACTCTCACGACGAAACTCTCACGAAGAAACGTTCATGACGAAACTCTCACGACGAAACTGTTACAACGAAACACGACGAAACTCTTACGACGAAACTCTCACGAAGAAACTGTTACGACGAAACACGACGAAACTCTTACGACGAAACTCTCACGACGAAACTCTTACGACGGAACACGACGAAACTCTCACAACGAAACTCTCACAACGAAACTCTCACAACGAAACTCTCACGACGGAACTCTCACGACGGAACGTTCATGACGAAACTCTCACGACGAAACTCTCATGACGAAACTCTCACGACGAAACTCTCACAACGAAACTCTCACGACGGAACGTTCATGACGAAACTCTCACGACGAAACTCTCACGACGAAACTCTCACGACGAAACTCTCACGACGGAACACGACGAAACTCTCACAACGAAACGTTCATGACGAAACTCTCACGACGAAACTGTTACGACGAAACACGACGAAACTCTCACGACGAAACTCTCACAACGAAACTCTCACAACGAAACTCTCACGACGAAAACTCTCACGACGAAACTCTCATGACGAAACTCTCACGACGAAACTCTCACGATGAAACGTTCATGACGAAACTCTCACGACGAAACTCTCACGACGAAACTCTCACGAAGAAACCGTTCATGACGAAACTCTTACGACGAAACTCTCACGACGAAACTCTCACGAAGAAACGTTCATGACGAAACTCTTACGACGAAACTCTCACGACGAAACTCTCACGAAGAAACCGTTCATGACGAAACTCTTACGACGAAACTCTCACGAAGAAACGTTCATGACGAAACTCTCACGACGAAACTGTTACGACGAAACTCTCACGAAGAAACGTTCATGACGAAACTCTCACGACGAAACTCTCACGACGAAACTCTCACGACGAAACTCTCACGACGGAACACGACGAAACTCTCACGACGGAACTCTCACAACGAAACGTTCATGACGAAACTCTCACGACGAAACTGTTACGACGAAACACGACGAAACTCTCACGACGAAACTCTCACAACGAAACTCTCACAACGAAACTCTCACGACGAAACTCTCACGATGAAACGTTCATGACGAAACTCTCACGACGAAACTCTCACGACGAAACTCTCACGAAGAAACCGTTCATGACGAAACTCTTACGACGAAACTCTCACGAAGAAACGTTCATGACGAAACTCTCACGACGAAACTGTTACGACGAAACTCTCACGAAGAAACGTTCATGACGAAACTCTCACGACGAAACTGTTACGACGAAACTCTCACGAAGAAACGTTCATGACGAAACTCTCATGACGAAACTCTCACGACGAAACTCTCACGAAGAAACGTTCATGACGAAACTCTCACGACGAAACTGTTACGACGAAACACGACGAAACTCTCACGACGAAACTCTCACGACGAAACTCTCACGACGAAACTCTCTGGCTGTGTGCTGGGGGCGGGGCTGTGTACTGGGGGCGGGGCTTCTGTCTCTTCATCTGCTTATTTGCATATTTAAATGTCGTTTCTAACGCTCATCTCTCATCCTGAAGCTAAACCAATCAGAGCGGGTCGTCAGCAGACGTCTGTCAGAGGGGGTGTGGCCAGCGTCTCTGGAGGCGGAGCCAGTGCTCGTCACAGGAAACTCCACCCGGCGCATCACCAGGTACGACCCCACCCCCAACACCTGGACCAAACCAAACCCGACTCCACCCGGACCAAACCAAACCCCAACCCTTCCTTGGATCACTCTAGTACTTTTTATTACTGTATTACTTTTTAACCATGGTAGTTTTTTTTTTTCTCTTTTTTTTTTTTTAATCACTTTTTTTTTTTATTACTGTAATTTTTTTTGTAATTTTTTATCACTGTAGTACTTCTTTTCTTTTTTTTTTATCTCTGTAGTAAATTTTTTTATCACTGTAATATTTTTATAAATCACTGTAGTACTTTTATTGTAGTAAATAAACTTATGACAAAATGAATCATTAATGAATGATTCTTTTGTTTCCACAGAACTAATGCCTTTTCCTGAAACCACCTCAGGTCCACCTTAAACAGTCCACCTTAAACAGCCAGTCCACCTTAAATAGTCCACCTTAAACAGCGGCAGTTTGTATCTCCAGGGTCGTGGTCCTCACTGGAGACGTGATGTTCCTCAGAGAAACGTTTTTCATTTTCCCCATAAACAGTTTAAAGATCAGAACCCCACACAGAAGAAGCACACAGAAGCTCCTGAAGAACCACACAAGAAACACACAGAAGCTCCTGAAGAACCACAGAAGAAACATCACAGAAGCTCCTGAAGAACCACAGAAGAAACACACAGAAGCTCCTGAAGAACCACAGAAGAAACATCACAGAAGCTCCTGAAGAACCACAGAAGAAACATCACAGAAGCTCCTGAAGAACCACAGAAGAAACACACAGAAGCTCCTGAGGTCCTTTCATCAGATTCCAAATGTAAAAGTTCAAATTTGGTTTGATGTTTTCACAACAGCAGAAGTTCCAGAAAAAGATCTAAAAGATCCTGATTCCTCAGAGCAGAACGAGAACGAGCCTCAAACTGACGTGAGGAAAATGGTTTAAATCTGAAAAATCTCAGAGTCAAAGAGAAAATCTCCAAGTGGACCTCCTCCAACTCCTCCAACTTCTCCAACTCCAACTCCTCCAACTTCTCCAACTCCTCCAACTCCTCCAACTCCAACTCTCCAACTCCTCCAACTCCTCCAACTTCCTCCAACTCCAACTCCAACTCCTCCAACTCCTCCAACTCCTCCAACTCCTCCAACTTCTCCAACTCCCTCCAACTCCTCCAACTCCTCCAACTCCTCCAACTCCTCCAACTCCTCCAACTCCTCCAACTCCTCCAACTCCTCCAACTCCTCCAACTCCAACTCCTCTCTCCAACTCCTCCAACTCTCTCCAACTCCAACTCCTCCAACTCCTCCAACTCCTCCAACTCCTCCAACTCCAACTCCTCCAACTCCTCCAACTCTCCAACTCCTCCAACTCCTCCAACTCCTCCAACTCTCCTCCAACTCCAACTCCAACTCTCCAACTCCAACTCCTCCAACTCCAACTCCTCCAACTCCAACTCCTCCAACTCCTCCAACTCCTCCAACTCCAACTCCAACTCCTCCAACTCCAACTCCTCCAACTCCAACTCCTCCAACTCCTCCAACTCCAACTCCTCCAACTCCAACTCCTCCAACTCTCTCCAACTCCTCCAACTCCTCCAACTCCAACTCCTCCAACTCCTCCAACTCCTCCAACTCCTCCAACTTCTCCAACTCCAACTCCTCCAACTCCTCCTCCAACTCCTCCAACTCCTCCAACTCCTCCAACTCCTCCAACTCCTCCAACTCCTCCAACCAACTCCAACTCCAACTCTCCAACTTCTCCAACTCCTCCAACTCCAACTCCTCCAACTCCTCCAACTCCTCCAACTCCTCCAACTCCTCCAACTCCAACTCCTCCAACTCCTCCAACTCCTCCAACTCCTCCAACTCCTCCAACTCCAACTCCTCCAACTCCTCCTCCAACTCCTCCTCCAACTCCTCCAACTCCTCCTCCAACTCCTCCAACTCCAACTCCTCCAACTCCAACTCCTCCAACTCCTCCAACTCCTCCAACTCCAACTCCTCCAACTCCTCCAACTCCTCCAACTCCAACTCAACTCCAACTCCTCCAACTCCTCCAACTCCAACTCCTCCAACTCCTCCAACTCCTCCAACTCCTCCAACTCCTCCAACTCCTCCAACTCCTCAACTCCAACTCCTCCAACTCCTCCAACTCCAACTCCTCCAACTCCTCCAACTCCTCCAACTCCTCCAACTCCTCCAACTCCTCCAACTCCAACTCCTCCAACTCCTCCAACTCCTCCAACTCCAACTCCAACTCCTCCAACTCCTCCAACTCCTCCAACTCCTCCAACTCCTCCAACTCCTCCAACTCCAACTCCTCCAACTCCTCCAACTCCTCCAACTCCTCCAACTCCAACTCCTCCAACTCCTCCAACTCCAACTCCTCCAACTTCTCCAACTTCTCCAACTCCAACTCCAACTCCAACTCCTCCAACTCCTCCAACTCCAACTCCTCCAACTCCTCCAACTCCTCCAACTCCTCCAACTCCAACTCCTCCAACTCCAACTCCTCCAACTCCTCCAACTCCTCCAACTCCTCCAACTCCTCCAACTCCTCCAACTCCTCCAACTCCTCCAACTCCAACTCCTCCAACTCCTCCAACTCCAACTCCAACTCCAACTCCTCCAACTCCTCCAACTCCTCCAACTCTTCTTCTTCTTCTTCTTCTTCTTCTTCTCGTCTCTGGACTTTCTGTGTTTCAGTGTTGACAAAGTGAATGTATTTGACCTTCTCAGAATTTTTGTGTTTGATGTAGTGAAAAAAATTGTTTGTGAATGTTTGGGGTCAAGGGTCAGATTGGGGTAACGGTCAGGGTCAGGTTAGGGTCAGGGGTCAGGTTGGGGTCAGGTTTGGGGTCAGGTTTGGGGTAAACATATTTGTGATGTGATTTTGGGAGTTGGTGATTTTCTTGAGCACAAAAGTTCCAGTTTGTCGTGTTTTTGTTTGTGGATGTGACCTTAAATTAAATTCTTAAATTAAACATATTTAAATCTTCTGTCTTTTGTGGTTTTTCCTCATCGTTCCGTCCGATTTCCACCAAACGTGTTGCCAGGTGTTTTAATAAAAACATAAATGAAATGTTAAATTTAAACACGTTCGACGTCGTCCGTGTTGCCAGGTTTGGTTCAGTGATTTCTGTCCAATTACGTTTGAAAACTCGACGTCTTCAGCAGAAAAACGCCCAACAACATTTTGTCACAGAAAACATCAAAATAATCTTTGAATAAACCTGTGACCCACTGTCGGGCTTTTAAAAACTTTGCCAGGATTGAAAAAACATTTTTAAAGGTAGAACATTTTCATTTATCACAGAAAAAAGGACATTTAATATTTAAATAAAAATGTTGTGGGCTTTTTAAAAACCTCGACAGGATTGAAAAACACTGACTTCTGTCAAACTAAAACTTCAAACGAGACTGGACTCAAACGACTAGAACGAACCGAAGAACTTTCCGAGACTGAACGCCGAGACTGCCACGAACCGAGACTCCGAACGCCGAGACTCCGAACGCCGAGACTGACCGAACGCCGAGACTCGAACGCCGAGACTCCGAACGCCGAGACGCCGAGACTCGAGACGAGAACGAGACTCGAGACTCGAACGAGAGAACGCCGAGAGAACGCCGAGCCGAAGAGACTCCGAACGCCGAGACGAACGCCGAGACTCGAACGCCGAGACTCCGAACTCCGCCGAGACTCGAGATGAACGCCGACTCCGAAGAGACGCCGAACGACCGAGACTCCGAACGCCGAGACTCCGAACGACTCAGAGACTGAACCGAACAGAGACCGAGACTCCGAACGCCGAGACTCGAACGCCGAGACTCCGAACGAGCTCAGAGACTCCGAACGCCGAGACTCTCAGAGACTCACGCCGAGACTCCGAACGCCGAGACTCCGAACGCCGAGACTCCGAACGCCGAGACCGAACGCCGAGACTCAGAGACTCGAACGCCGAGACTCCGAACGCCGAGACTCCGAACGCCGAGACTCGAACGCCGAGACTGAACGCCGAGACTCCGAACGCCGAGACTCCGAACGCCGAGACTCCGAACGCCGAGACTCCAGAGACTCTCCGAACGCCGAGACTCCGAACGCCGAGACTCCGCCGAGACGAGAGAGCCGAACGCCGAGACTCGAACGCCGAGACTCAGAGACTCGAACGCCGAGACTCCGAACGCCGAGAGACTCAGAGACTCCGAACGCCGAGACTCCGAACGACCGAGACTCCGAACGACCGAGACTCGAAGAGACTCTGAACGCAGAGACTCAGAGACTCCGAATGTAGAGGACGTTCATTTGTGCACAGGCCAGAGCTCCTCCATAAAACTCGGGAGGCAGGAGTGAAAGTCCCGTACAGTCCTCTGAACTAAACCGACTGACTAAACCAGGACTAAACCAGGACTAAACCAGGACTAAACCAGGACTAAACCAGGACTAAACCAGAAAACCAGACTAAACCAGGGAACTAAACCAGAACTAAACCAGGACTAAACCAGACTAAACCAGAACTAAACCAGAACTAAACCAGAACTAAACCAACTAAACCAGACTAAACCAGACTAAACCAGGACTAAACCAGAAACCAGAACTAAACCAGAACTAAACCAGGACTAAACCAGGACTAAACCAGGACTAAACCAGAACTAAA